GTCGTGTTGGCGATGTCCAAGCTGATGCGACGAGGAGGGTAGTATGCGAGGACGGCCGCCGACCCAGTCACGTACTCGGCGTAAAAGTCGGAGCGGGAGCCCGTGTATCGAACCTTTTGTGATCCGTCAAGGGCGCGAATCTCCAGCACCCCGCCATTGGGGATGGACAGCTCGTTGAAGTGGGGTGCGATGTACGATGCGCCGTCGTCCTGGATCACGTAGTTGAAGGGCTTGGACTTGGTTGCGACCAGGTTGAGCGAGTGGTCGGACCCGATCTCGTTACTTGGGAGGCGCCAATTGGCGTCGGTGGTCGACGCGACAGCGGCGGCAACGAACGTGACGAGTTGCAACAGGGTAAACATGGTAAACGGCAAATTCAAAAGTGAGCTTGAAGACCCAACGAACGCCGACCATTGACGGCGTCCTCGGCGCTAGAGGCGCCACAGCATCGCTTTTCTATATCCTTCCGGTATTCCCCACGGATGTATTGGGTATTCAGGGTCCAGCATGATGTCTCATGTACGCAGGAAACAACGGACGCACCGCACAGCACAGTACGTCTGCCGTCGAGTGATCGAACAGAACTGAGGCTACAGGAATCCATCGTTGGCGTGCGGGGCTTGCCATTGCGAGCGTGAAGTGGGCCCAAACGGGAGTCGTACAGCATCACTGGCCGTCCATCGGACCAGATGCCAAACGACCCCCGTTGTGCTGCAGTATAAGAACGCTTCGAGTACTTCGCATTCATTCGTTTGGTGGCGTGCTTTTGCGCCAGGTGTGTTTGAACAAGCGACATGGTTTCACTCATTCGTCAGACGGCACCAGCTGAGGGGGAGCGCTCTTCTCTCAACGTATTCAATGTTCCTACGAGTGCGTCGGCCAATTCAGGTGTACCATTGCTTCCCATGGATATTCCAGGTCCAAGGACGTCCCAGATCCAACGTTTTTCGCGAGCAGTGTTCCATTCGATGGATTCATTCGCGCTCGCCCCCGATGCATTCGAACCTCCTCACACACGGGTGGCGTTGTCTGCATGGAGTTTGGAAGTGGGATAAGAAAGTTAGCATATGAGGGGCTTTTCCGCGTGGTACAAACTTGGCATGGCTCAGCTCTTTGTTGATGTTTCTCGACAAGGGGGAGGAGCACTTGTCGTGGGTTCCATTCTCCAGCCCGAGTGGCGTATTGGATATGGTCCCGGCATTCCAATCGAGATTCAACTTGCACCTCGTACTCGCATTGGACTCGTCGAGACTGGCTCAAGTTCCAAACTGCACCTTCAAAAAAGGAAATGACTGCATTCGTACACGCTATGTTCAGCGGCGCTCCCCAACATGCTTCGAGTCGACACCACTCAGTATTGTGGAGGGGGCATGGAGTCGATGAATATAGTGCCTCCCATCGTGTCTGTGCTGTCGCCGCAGAATTTCCCCAAATTCGACCAATGAAACGTCTGTATTCGTCCTCTGCGCCGTTTCAGCAGCCAATCCGCGTCCGGGAAAATATTCACAACATTCAGATGTCCCACTCTGCAGGATTGGGCATAGAGGTCAGAAGTAAAATACTCACAACATTCAAATGTCCCCCTCAACGACCAACACAGACAGCGCGATTACAATGCGTTTGTCATGCCGATCGCCACATCAGCATAGCTCCGTCGCTAGTCTCGTAGCGTTGATGCGCTCCATGTATGGTAGTGACCAAAACAAGAGCGCCGATAATGGTGTTGGAGGCCCTTCATCGTTCGATGCATGTCTCAAATGCCACGTCATGGCGCACCAAGATTAATTCGTTTGCATTTCAACAGCTCTTGGGCTCACAGTCATTTGAACCAGCAATCGTGCGCCATGTGCAAAGCCACTCGCATCGATCAGTCTCAAGTTTTAACCAAGCCCGTGATGCCACGACGATGTGTGCCACCAAGTCCGCGTGATTATCCAAAGTGCGCGTAATCGACGACAAACTGATCGTCATAGCCGGTACGCAACCACTGCACGAACCACGATGCAAATGTTATCTCGTCCGCAGCTCAGTCCTGCCACAAAGTGTTGAAGTATAAGGGGGCAGCGGGGTCTTGACATGGGGCTCCAAAGTGTCGTCATGCAGCTGGCGTTGCCCGTCGAGGACGAGCGAAAGAAAGACAGAGCCACGCAAGCGAAAAGTGTTGGGGATTAAGTTAGTGACCAGTCTGTGCGAGCGACCGTGTCGCATAGATTATTTGATCCGCATTGGAGGAGAAATTGGCGGCATGTGCTTGGTGTCTGAGGATGTCGTCGGACCGTCGTCGAAAGGCGCCTGGAGCCGGACGACGAGAACGGTCAGAAGGCCCACGAACCAGAGGTACAACGCGATGCCTTGAATAGGGTGGTTCTTTGCGATCAGGATGGTAGATGCCACGGACACCCCGAGCGCCGTAGCGACCAGCAGCGACGGTGCAGTCCCAAGCATTTCTTGCAAACGAAAGATGCCAAGATTTTCGTTCGAAACGCGTTTTGTATCTTCCTGTTTCGAACACTCGTCCTTGTTTGAAACACCTCAATGGGACAAGTTGTACATAAAATAAAGGTCCGCCGACTTGAATCCAAAGGGGGGGGTCTTGTGTGCGCTGTGTGACGAAACGGTACTCAATGTTCGACCAAGAAGTGCCTGATTGCTGCGATTGTGAAGGCATCGGACAATTTGAGCCATGATGTCATTCTGCGCATTCTGCGATCGATGCAAACACGTTGTTTGGGGGTCTTTCAGGCAAATGGGCTCGAGACAGAGCACACTACATCGCCAGTTTAATGTGATTCTGGTCGAGTCAAGTACCAAACGTGTGTTCCATGTCTGCTGCATCGTTGGTATGATTGTACTCCTTCACATGTCAAGGGTGGTGACATAGGTTTGAAACGTTTTCTAGGTGTTTCGTACGATATCCTCTTCACTAAACGTTTGTTCGATGTGCCAACCTTCAATCAGTGAGATTCATGAGCATTCTGTTGACGCACAGACGATGGAGGATAAGATGGGGGGCAATCTCCACCTCCAGCACATGCATAGGGGCTGTGCCAGTGCCATCAGATAGGTGGAGGAACGAATGCCGATAACTTGGGGCAGTGCCGGTAGATGCAATGGGAAAAGGGGTGGCCAATTCCGTGCGAGAGCGGCGATGCGTCCAGTACGACAACGCGATGGCCGTTGGGATGTCGACGTGTCGGGGGGATCGTGGCGTTACCGATCTCCTTGGCGTGTGCACACAGTTTGACCACGAAGCAAGGGTGGGGAACGTGTAGCTGGTTTTTATCCCACATGACACGAGGTTTCGGGTCTACCAGGCCCATGTGTGCATTACGATGTACATTTGATTTCTTGAATTCCCCAGCGCGATTTTTTCCTGCTCTTGTCGGGAGGCCCCACTACACGTTGGCCAGGTCGTCCAGGGGCTAGGAATTCCCCTGCATGCGCCGCTGACACCACGTCGTATATTTCAATCCAGCATATATCGACTACAACACAGTACAGACTTTTCGCCAAGCCGGGATTTCGTCGTGCTGGCCTCGTGCATTCGGTCGACTGAACACGGTGGGGACTTCGACCCCTGTCGCACGGCCTTCCAGCGACGTCGGTGCCGGAAACAGCCACACGATTCGACGCAGGTGCGCGTTGGACACGTACGGGTCCAAAACCCACAGTCGGTCCGCGGCCTTCACGTCGTCATCTTTGGAGAGAACGGTATGGCCACATTGAAGCGTATCGACGAGGACCGTAGCCGCCGCTTGTGCAAACTCAGTGCCACCGCTCTCGACAAACACCGCGTCGGACACTATGATGACCCGGTTACGGATTCTTATCTTATGGGAAGCATCGCCGTGGTACAAGACTGTCCAGCCATCAAACACCGGATCGGCGACAAGATTGCATGGTCAAAGCACCAAACACTTGCCGAATATCAAGTCGCGTTACCTTGCCAGCCCACAACGGTGGCGCTAGCCATGTTGCTCTCGAGAAGACGGCGCAGGCCATGGAGGAACGGATGAGTCCCAATGTGCGGCACCCAGTCCCCAAGGAACCGCAGGAGCTTGCCCCGTACAACATCGAGGTCGTCCGACCGACGGAGGTACCCGCCAGGCGGTACCGGGCGAATGTGGAGCAAGCCGTCGAGGGCGTCCACGTGGTAATGGCAAGACTGGACTGCATCGAGGTGTCGGTGGAACGCGTCATACTGTAGGCAAACCGTATATGGTTAGAACACCCTGAAAAAGAGATAGAGTCCATGCACGGATGCCTTGGACGACGTAAAACACACACAAGATGTCAATATGCACTCCACCATCGAGGTGGCCGCTTGGTGACTCGGTTTCGGAGCACAAATGGACATCCACCACGTAAAGACTCTGCCACGTGATGCGTGTACGAACCCGCGCGTTGGCCAGATGCGAATGGTACTCGCCGCGAACGCGTGTCTTGATCTTTTCGAGTTGGAGCAGGCTACGTGGTATGAAAGCGATGCAGAAATCAGTGAAGTCAAACGAGAATGCTTACTTGGCATCAAAGGTCGCGTCGTGGTTAGGCAACGGACACCTTGCCAGCCCAATATCCTCGACCGACGGATGTACAATCGACACATTGGACACTGCGCATGGCGACAACGACCGTGGGATGTCGATCCTACTCGAGAGAGAAAACGCGCATATGATTCGAGTCAACGCCATGAGCAGTGGCACGTAGTTTCGACAAACGTACGCAATGAACGCATCCATGGATTGCGTGTTGTCGTCGACTGTGCCTTGCAGCTGCTGCTTGGCCTGTTCGTACGCGTCCAGCAGCGCCTTGGCCGATGGATCGTGGAGAAAGTAGTAATTGTGACACACTTCCCGCCACTTCTCGAGACGTCCGTCATTTTCCAGGACGCACGTGCAAGCCGCCGCTACGTCGCCGGTCATCGTGCCGGACTGTCGCTTCGATTCAAATTGCCCACCATATCCGGCAATGGCTATCTTATCCGGACAGATGCCGAATCCAGGATGATGGAGGCCGGACCACGACGATGGACGGCGAATACCTGCTTGGGTACGTCAACAAAGTGGTGGCGGCACCAGGAGGACGCTAATTCAAAGACTGCATGTCGCGGGCAGACGGCCGTGGTGACAGATTTGCCATGGAGATGCTGTGGGAGCGAGGGAGTCACCTTAAATCAAGTAGACTACACGAATGCAGTGTCCAACAAGATGGCATGGTGGGATGACGATCGCATCAGGCTGAACGTCGGTAGGTGCTGGCATTCGTTTACACGTTGCATCAGCTCGACTGGAGCATGTCACGATGCGTCGCTGCGACTTCACATCCATGGGAGGGATTGAACGCCCTTACAACTCCCAGGCCAGAGAGCACCACACCCCTTCCGATCAGTGATAGAGCTGCTTAAGGCCAAGGACGCATACCTTACCGACAATACATTCTTTCGAATCCAACAGCGCAAGGGAGAGCCCGTGAGGAGCCTCTCTACAACACTTCAGCCAAGATACTTGACGGCCTTGAACGCCGGCTTTCCACTGCTCTCGATCCAATAGCAGGTAGCAACACGGGATGAATGGAGGTTCGCATGTCGGACGGCATGACGTGGCTAGGGTGTTTGTGCTCGAGCCACTCGGCAATATCGCGTCTGTTGACCAGAAGGGTGATCATCGCGAGTGGATCGGCAGCGGCGAGCACAGCCGGCGTACTTGTCAAACCTCGTGGAATTACCAGAAATACCCCGGCGTGAATGCCACCGGTACTTAAAGTACCCCAAAATCGCTTGAGCAAGATGCTGGTCGATCAAACACAGTAGCGCCGTGCCAACGTGGCTCTCCAGGTACTCCAGGGCGGTAATACTCCCTCTGTTCCAAAATAAGTGCGCGAGTTTGAGGAGGGTAGACATGACGCGTCATTAACAGTTCAACAAAAAACTATAAACTTTTGGAAAAAGTTCACAACGTGAATCCATTTTCAATTTTTCCTTGATCTGAAACTTTATAGGATACAATTTCATTCAACGAATGGTGGTATAAATTTATGCAAGGTGGGGTGACCGTGCATACAGTTGATGTAGCTTTATTTTGTGGTTTTACTCCCAAAGTAGACAATTGGCAAAATTGTAGCGAACACAACAGAAGTCGGCAAACTTTGACGCAGCCAATCAGAGCTACTGCTACTTCCATCAATTCTGAATATCAACATGGCCGCGTCAGGCGCTCACATTCTCCAGCACAAATCGACCAGTGTCACTCGGAGAGGGCGTCAGCACTTGGGACCAGACTGGTTTACGGGGAGGACGTGGAGTTTCTTGTTCTCGGTGCTTGCTGATGGAACGAACAGGACCTCACGCTTAAGATGGATCATGGATGCGTCAGATAGCACGCACCACCTCCTCAACGGACGACGCTTGCACGGAAACAATGTCGAGAGAGAACCCCGACGACTGTCCTTTAAAGTTCCGCACACTTGGCACGAGGCGAAAGCTAAAAAAGTGACCGATATCTGCGTGCGTCTGTTGATCCAAGCCAGCAGAACTCTCCATGGTCGCTGTTGCTGACTCCAGTGAATTCGACTCGTTTGAATTGAAACATGAAAGAAACGTCCGGTAAAAGTAACTTGATATATGTATGGTCGCAAGATCGCAGGAACGTTTATAGTGCTGGCGGAGAACTCTAGCCGGTTGAAGCTGTTGAATTTCGTGGCATGTGGCACCATCAGAGCTCGCATGCGGGCGAACATTCGACCAGTCGAAGAATTCGCGACTTGCCGTACCATGGGGCAAGGCTGTCGTTCAGACCCTTGAATCAATTGAGAAAGTGGCCTTCATTGACGGATTTGTGCTGTGGAAGAGTACACGTAGTCGACTTAGCCATGGGCTGCATTTCAAGCGCTAGAAAAATCTGAAAGCACACCTTGTGCATCAAATATTGGACGATCTACATCGTCATATTTAACACTAGAAATACGATGTACATCGTCGATGGACACGCCTTTTCACACCCGAAGGAAGTACGACATCCCTGGTAGGGACAATCGAAATGCCTTTGCAGAATATCCCTGCTCATGTCCTACATGGTAAACGAATCAAAGACAACCTTCATCTATTCATTGTGCATTTTCAATTCTTGAGCAACACACACCTGGACGGACGCTCTCAAAATGGTCTATCGTGGGCTGCACTGCCCCATCGAGTCCTGGAGCGTCGTGTATCCACTTGGACTCCAAATAGGCGTCCCCGAGTATATTGTTGGAGCAACGAATGGCTCCAACGCATGGAGAGTCCAAGATGGGCCATCGATGCCCATCCTGGACTCTCTAGCGCCAACTCGTGGACGATCCATGGAGTGTATGACGCACGACGTCACCAGAGCAATGCGGGAGGTGGTTTCGTGGCTCATGCATGACAAGGGAATTCGAGTGTTCCTGGAACCTAACGT